CCATTAGCTAAATATTTAGTTTCTAGATTTTCAACTCTATTAGACAATAACATTTACACCATAAAAAATTCAATAGAGTTTGTAAAAAAGTTAAAAACATTTCTCCTAGTAATTTACTCATGGTTTCTTTTGATGTAAAATCATTATTCACCAATGTCCCAGTGGAGGGTGCATTAAGATGTCTAGAAACCAGACTTCGCGAATTTCATTTCTCTTGCATCGAAATTGATGAGCTAATTTCTCTCACTCAACTCTGTTTGAAACAAACACATTTTGTTTTCCAAAATAAATATTACAAGCAAACTGAGGGATTAGCCATGGGAAGCCCCCTCAGTCCCATCCTGGCTGATATCTACATGCATTATTATGAATCAAAATTGTTTGAAACTTTAAACTTCCCGGCATGGTTCCGCTACGTAGACGATACTTTTACTCTGTTTGAAGGTAATAAAGATGATTTTTTAAATAAAGTTCTTTCAACAATGAATTCTATTGATCCTGCTATTCAGTTCACTTTTGAACTTGAGACTTGCAATTCTCTTTCCGTTTCTCGACATTCTGGTCACACGTAACACATCCAACTTCAGTACTACGGTTTACCGTAAAACTTCATCGGTTTGCCTTCCACCACACTTTAAATCATGTCATCCGACTAAACAAAAGTTAGCTTCCTTTTATTCCTATGTTTTCCGTGCTCTTCAAGTTTGCTCCTCCAAACTAGCCCTTGATGAAGAACTAAAGTATTTAAAAGCAACAGCTATTGACAGGGGCTTTCCACCCAACATTATTAATCAAGCAGTTAAAAAATTCTCATCTCAACACACTAAAAGGCACAATCTTGTTTTAGGAGATTATAAAAATTCTGTTGTCATTCCCTTCTTTCCATCAATTAGCTATAAAGTTGCACATATTTTGCAGAAATTTAACTTTCGGGTTGTTTATTCTTTCATCAATAAAATTCCGAGTTCCATACTCAAGGACCCCATTCCGGATATGAATTCCTGGGATATTTATAGGATTCCTTGCCAGTGTGGTTTAATTTACATTGGCCAAACTAAGAGAGCCTTAAAATTTCGCGTCAAGGAACATGAGGCATATGTTAGAAAAAAGGAAACACAGAAGTCTTCTGTTGCTCAACATTGTTGGTCCGAAAACCACACTTTCAGTTTTTCTGCTGCCAAAATTATTCAAAAAACATCTTCCATTGGAGAACTGGATTTTCTAGAGGCATTTCACATTCATAAAAATCTTTCTGTTCTAGTTAACGATCCTAATTCCAATCCAAATTTGCCTTCGGCCTTTAAAGAAATTATGTTTTAGTTCTGGTTTTACCAACAGATGGCGCCACTTGCTTATTCTTGTCCAGGCTTTCTTATCTTATCTAATCATTATTTCCTATCTTGTTCATTTGCGGTTTTGCAGCTGAAGATGGTGGTTCGGTAAAACCATTGAAACTAGTCCTGTGAAAACTTTGTAAATATAACACTGATTTTTGTTGTTTGATTTCTGATTTAGTATTTATTCGGCGTGTTATTGTGTCTTAATTTAAGATAGCATACATAAGTCCTATGTTTCTTTGAGTCATAGCGCACGCACTATTGCACTCTCGGGTTGAGCTAATAGATGAAGGGGCGGCAGGTTCCAAAATCATGTTTAATGCATTAGTAGGCGAGGTTTTGTACCTCGGCAAATGTTTAGGAGGAATGGTATTTGTGCAGAGCGTAGCAGATTCTCCAATTTAATAGTGACAGTTATGCCCCACATGGAGGCCCCTGAAAGTGCTATTCGCTTTACAACTATTGTGTACCACAAAGATACCCTATATGTTCTATTGAGATGAAACTGTGGCTGATTATTTCTTCTGTTGTTTACTATTATTTGTCGTAAGTCTTACGGCACAGGGTCCACCTATCTGCCAGGAATGAAACCGTGTTGCCTTTCACTTACATTTTGTCCAGAAAGGATATAGTGTTTCAGTGTTTGAAGGACAACACTCTCTAGAAGTTTACCGAAGGCGGGCAGGAGGCCAAACGGTCAATAAAACGCCCCACATTACGGTCTTTGTTCTCTTTTAGGAACAGCAACACCTCGCGAAGTTTCGTGCCAGCTGAGGAATACTTGTTGCACCAAGAAGGTGTTACACAGACGAACAATAACACCGAATGTGTGCTGTTTATGATTTGCATAGTCTACCCCATCAGAACCTGGGGCTTTATTGGGTTTTAATATTTTTACTATATGCCGCCCAATCGGTATAATGGTCAGGGAAGTTGACTGTGATACCGAAGGTCCTGGGTTCGAATTCCGGAGAAGGTGTGATTGTAACTGTCCGTCCCTTCATTGAAAAAGTGATAGTGGCCCACTTATTAGGTGACTCCAATTGTTATATTATGCAACTAAACTTCAGTATGGGATGAGAGTGCGTGTTTAAATTTTATGTTAATATATTTCGTTTTCCATTAGTTCTTTGACATAAATATAGCTAGCTAACTGATAATTTTTATAAGAATTTTCGTTGTTGCTGTAATAATTAATATATGTTTCTTAATTTCTAATTTTGCGTATTGCGGCATAACTAATGCCGCATAATTGTCTGGAGCCGTCTAAAAATGAGTCTACTATTCTTTTAAACATAACAAACAGAGAATAACGACACTTCGAGTATTATTGTATATGTAGCAAGGATGATAAATTTTGAGATGAATTTCCTTATACTATTCGAAAAAAGCTAAGAGTTTTTAAAAGTTTCAGCGATATTTAATTTTAATCATCAAATTTCAGATCTAAGAAATTAAGGCTTTGAATGCTGCATCTTAACTTTAAGGTGCATTAAATGTTAAAACTACCGTTAGAAACTCAGAATAAATTTCTAACATATCTATCTATTTTTATTTCCTTGTACGAAGTAAAGAAAGTTATAAGATATTTCTCACGCTTTCCTAGCGTGCCTTCGTGGTGTAGTGGTTTGCACACTGGGCCGGTATTCCAGAGGTCCGTGGTTCGATTCCCGGCGAAGGCGTTGTATATTTTTCATCTCTCCTGCTTCCAAAATACCTAATGTCTCTACAGTTGCGCCCGAACTAAAACGGTGTTGGATGATGATTCTCCTCACCCAGGATTTTGCGATTGGGTCCCTTAAAAACCCCAGTCGCCCTTTAAAAGGGGGAGTATATAAGGTATTTCTCCCGCCTTGCTAGCGTGTCTTCGTGGTGTATTGATCTGCGCGCTGGGCCGGTATTCCAGAAGTACGTGGTTCGAGTTCTGGCGAAGGCGTGTTAATTTTTCATCTCTCCGGCCTCCAAAAAATACCTAATGTCTCTACAATGTATTGTAATCCCGAAAAATTTCGGATATCAAATTTCAACGAAAATAGCAATTTTGACCGCTCTCGAATCCATTCATACGACTTTACATCTGTAGCAACGGGCAGAAAAAAGGACTCTTTTTTCCAAAACATTCTAAAAGAGATTCAGAAAGGCCGTTTTTTCATGACGTCTGTGCGTATATATGTATGTATCTCGCTTAACTCAACAATGATTAGCCGTAGAGCACTGAAATTTTGTATTTGGGACTATAACGTCTAGTTGTGCACTTCCCTTTATTATTGCAATCAGTGAGACAGAACGTATATATAAGTAAAGAGTTAAATAGATTGATAGGTAAAATAGTAAGAAATTTAAAACCGTAGCCACAACGTCAAGAAAGAAATTATATATCTATATATGTCCACTCTCTTATCCGGCTCGGTGAGCTCTATTTTTTTTATTCTTGTTCCTAAATTGTGCATGTTTTATTTTGAAAGTGCCTTTAATTAAGCTGCATGCAATAGTTGTATAATTATCAACAATTTAAAAGTGTAGGTGGAGCTAAAGCTAATCTAAAGCGAATTTGTTTGCATCTGAAATTAACTTATTAGTAAATTAAGTCAGCTAGTGCACTAACTTCAGCGGCTTTTTATCCAGTAGAACCAAAAGTTAATTTTCAGTTTTGTCTTTATGCCAGTTGACCGAATTGCTTGTTTTTTGCCTGAAACTTTAAAGTTATTTGTAAAAATTGCTTTTTTATCGTTTTTAATTATATTTGGTACATTAGGTTTCCTGTACTTTGAAATTTTTAATGGAGATATTTTAAGTTTTTATGAATTTTTGCCTTGCAAAGTGAGAACTGAATTGATTGAATGAGAAATATGAAATTGGAGGAAATAAGTTTAAATGAAGTGCAGCCAAAACATGCGTGTAATTTAATAGCCGTGCAAGGAAGGATTTAAAGCCGTGCGTGTTCATGTGATAATCACATCAGATTTTTCCTGATGCTAACCAATTTGTCTTTCTATTGTTCATATTATTTAGGCATCGAATATCATGTCAATTTTTAGCTATGGATTTCCTTAGATGTCTGATAAGATTATTCTTACGAAGTAGTCTGCATAATAACATAATATTACTATAGCCAACGATCTGTCATTACGCTTACACGCATTCTTTAAACTGGTTTTAAAGAAAATAATAAGGTTCCTTTAAAGTGGTATTCAGATATAATTTCTTTCTTTTCAGCTACAAAATCTTTCAGCCACAGAATGCACGTTTCTCCCAAATAAATAAAAGATGAATAAAAAATTACTTGTGAATAATCCCTATTTCATGCGAAAGTTACATTCATGTACACCACGGAAGCTTTTATATTTGCAAAGCACGTTCTAAAGATTTTCAAATACCGATAAGAAATGATCAGCTTGCAAATGAATTTTGCTTAATCCAGATTAAGAAAGCGTTACCGCCAAACGAGTGAGATAAGTCAAAACAACAGCATATGGGATTGATAATGCACCATTATGTGATGATTCGAAAACTTTTCTGCGTATTATTTTCACTCAGTAACAAAATAATCGTTTGGCTTCGTATAACAATGACTTTTTTATTTTACTTTAGTAAATGAATTTCTTATTTATAATTCTTTTTTGTTTAGCATATAACTGAAAGTATCCTTATTTCTCTTTGTAGTTTGGAAATGTTCCCAACATTTCTGGTCCTGCTATTCTGCGGTGGCTTAGCACATCCAGTAAGAAATTTTTTAATTACGGGATAAATACTTCACATGCACCATCCTTATATTTGCATTTATCTTGTTATTAAATAATATGAATATTTGCTCTACGAACACATACATAATTCTTGAACCGTATTATTTTGTGGAAAAACTTACATTTATTACAAATTAAACAATTGAAATTAAGTACAGCACCTTTAGAAATTTGGCAATCTTCGGGACAATCGATCAAGAATCTTCAAATTAGCTATATTTTGAAGGTTTGCTCTGCCAGTCAATATCTCAAATAAAACCCAAGATATTATTTTACTCAGGTCATAATATATGAAAAGAGAAAAATCAGAGTTACGTTTTCCAGACTGCTAAGCTGCGTTCGTTTTTAACACTCACATAGCCTACAAAGACTAAGTACGGTGAGCATTTCTAAATTTTTCTAATTCACAACTACTGGTTTCCCTCTCCCCTGCACTACAGTTTCTGAAACCATTGATTTTATTCTTAGTTTAGTGGATATATTCTTTTTCTCAATGACTATAATTTTTCTACACTTATTAAGTGTTATTAAATTTTGAGGCCAAAGTTACCTTGCTTTAATTGAGTATAAGGATAGCCAAACTTAAATGCAGTGTCATTTTTCAACATCCAAATAAGTGATAAAGTGAAAAAGATACCCGAAGTAATCTATTTAAACATTTATATGATATTCCGTTTACTGCCCTTAAGTACCGTTATACCGAATAAAGTAAATTGAATACTTTCAAATAAATTTCCAAAGACAAGTCTCATAAGTTAGAGGATTTGTATTTCCCCAAGTTCCAGAAATCTTTCTTCAAAGTTACTGCATCGAAGTCTCTCTGCCTAAGGATGAGAAGGCATTCTTGGAGGACCTTTTAAGGGGAACTGGCTCGTATTAATAATACACATGAGGAAGACACAAAAATTTCCCTACAACTAGCCAGTTCATCGAAAAAGAATCCAGGTCAAAATCGCAGTGTCAACAGTATCTGGATCCAAATGTTTTTGGAAGAAAATGAGGCCAAAATGTTATGGAATATGGCAAAATGTTTTTTAGCGGGAAAATGAATAGAGAATTCGTGAGTAAAATAATCAGAATAAATCAATTTATTGATTTAAAGCAGCCAAAAATCTCTTAAAAGGAAACACACATAAAGAATTAACTTAAAAGGATAATTTATTTCATCAGCAAGATAAGCACATTTTTTTTCCCTGGGGAAAAATATTGGCGTAGAAATAAAAGTACTCAAGAACGCAATGCTGTGAAGTCGATTTCAAGAAGTAAATTATCTATTTTCTAATTCCAAAAGCATTAATTAACAAGATGTAGTAAATTTCAAACAACACTAATATGTTAAATGTCTTATACAGAGAATTTGTTCGCATTTGCTCAAATCCTGCATATACTAAGATGTACTAAAAGAAATAAATTTTTCTTCGGCACTATGGATATGAGAGAGTCAGCTTTAAAATTTAGTGTACACTACAATACAAAGACACTGTTTTTGAAATAAATGACTCTCAGAAAAATTGAACTTGGTATTCTATTATTTCATTATAACCACTGCAGCCCACTCGGGGCCCAGCAGCAGTAAAATTGCTAAACTCTGGTAATTCGACCCGGGTTCAAATCCAGGCGAACGATATGTTCTTATGGAAGCTTTCACGGTTTTTTCTTATGCAATGTTAAATAGGAACTAGTTTTTTTAAAAAGGCCTCTACGAAGACTTTCTCCTCTCAAACAGAAAGCCGTCGAGTATTTTGCCGTAACCCAAATATTTACTATGATATTTACGTCAAATAGCATAACTTGCATCCATTAACTTGCTTTGTCTAATTAAATAAAATCTGTTCCTTCAAATTTCTGCCAGAACAACTGGTACAAGTTTGGAGCATTCTTCGGCAACTCTAATGGTCGACGGGTACCATTTTAACTATTAACAGTTTAAGACATTAGAAACTCTAATGGTACCATTAACAGTTTAAGAGATTAGAAAGATTTATATTTCAGTTTTTAATCAGAAACTGCAGGGCAATTTTTAATTTGTGATTGTAATAAATATTTGAAATGCAGTTTGTAACGTTACTGTGATAGACATCGACTTAGTAGTATAGCCAGAGCTTTTGTCGCCCCTCTCAATGTATATTAAAAAAATCTCCAACATTCTAAACTGTTATTATTTTTTGTTTTGTTTTGTTTTGTTTTTCTGTTAGCAAAATCTTCGAGAAATTCTAGTAGCCTATCTTTACTCTAGTTGCTCTTCATTAGACAATACAGTAAGATTTCTTTCTTTTTTTTTTTTTTTTTTTTTTTGTTTAACACGTGCTTTTTAATCAGTTCGTATCTAAACAAAATCCTCTCGTAACAAGTAATACCTATACAGTCATTGTGAGAAAAATTCTTAGTAGTATTACAAATATTTTAAAGTGCGTTCTGGAAATCTCTTTTTTTAGAATAAACTGCAGAAGTCGAAAACGCAAACCTTCCCTAGCATTGCTTCGTCTTCCCTAGCAGTAGCGACCCACTAGAGGCCGCGCAACAAAGTAGCTGAATACAGAAGTTTTAACCAACAATTCGATTCCACTCAAACGGGCTGATTCCATCGGCCTCTTACTGATTTTCCTCCTGTGTAATGCGGATACGAGATAGTTTCCCTTAGAAAATCTTCCACAAAGGCGTCCCTTCCCTTAGGCAGATAGCCCTTGAGTGCTTTGCCGTAATCAAATAAACCAAATAAAACCCTTTGCAGAAGCAGAAATAAAACTCTGCGGTATTTCTCTCTCAACGAGTAGTTCTTCCTCGTTGATGTCATCATGATTCATAATTTAATTAACAGCCGTATTTTTCATGCAGAAGTTTCGATGGGATAAGAAAGGCAAAACAAGAATATGAAGTTGAAAATGAAATTATTTCTTTTAATATTCCTTCCAGTATAAAATTAATTTTTCTTTTTAATTTAGATTCACGTTACAGTTCAGCATTTCTCGATTCCTTTCCTATCATCATTTTCTCATTTTCGGCTTTGTGCCTCCCTAGATGATACAATGCAAATTATATTTCACGTGAGAATTATCCCAAAAAATGTGCTTCGCCTCTTTCAACAGATTTATTAAACAAAATAGAAAAATCAGATGTTCATGCAATCGAGCATCAAAGTTGTACCTTTATGCGACACGTGTCTTCTGAGCCGTTTGAACTTTTATCATCTATCTCCAAGGTTATGATGAAGAAGTCAAGGCCACTTTTGACCTTGACTCACTCAAAGAAACAGTCACGATCTACATTACGGCTATCAATGTAGTTCCTAAAATTCAAAACATTTTGTTAGTACTATGCTGTTTTCCGTCTTATTTCATCGTAATGATTTTTTTCCTTTCATTACTTTTTTATATCAGTAAGAATTGACCAAAAATATCCAATGCAATATTTCTATAAAACTTAGTAATTTAACAATAATTTATATAAAATTATGAATTAAAACAAAACGTTGCAGCAAAATGATTAGAAATGGAAAAGTAAATTTACAAAGCATATATCTCTCAACTTCGAGTTCTCAGTATTTCTGGAAAAAATCCGTTTGTCTAAAAATACATAATAAGAAAAAAAAAAAAAAAACACTATGTTAAAACGCTGTACAAGCGAGAAAGAAAGGTAAAAACAGCAACATTGACAATAAATTCTATTTTGAGATTTTCCTAATTTTAGAATGCTATTTACAGAGCTTCCAAGTATTCCACCAATGGCTGAGTGATTAAGACCACTGATTGCTGGTAGTTTATCCTGAGTATGAACTCAGGTGAATGGGCTGGCGCACAGTTGGTATTCGTAGTTTTCCCGATGAATAATGAAAGTGAAAATATGAGCCAATTTCCTTTAGAAAGGCTGCCACGAAGGCATCCTTCCTTTAGGCAGCTTGTCCTCATAATCTCTGTTGTATTCTAATAATCACACCAGCCATAAGAATACAGAATCTTTAAATAATAGATACTTAGAATAAATGTTTAAAATAATAAGCGATTAGATACATGCAGAATTTTAATTTGCATTTACATACTCTTTAAGGACTTTCATTTCTACTTTATTTATCACTTGTGTTTTCCAACATATTTGTTTTCAGTCAGGGTTTTTTTATTTATGAGTGGAAAGTGTGTGGGATTATGGCAAAGCCTCGAGAGCTATCTGCCTAAGGTGAGGAATGCCTTCGTGGAGGACTTTCTAATGGAAACTGGTTCGTATACACGTTACACATGGGGAAAACCAGGAAAACGCCCATGCAGCCAGCCCGTTCGCGGGATTCGAACCTCGGACCGAACTACCAGTGTTCAGCGACTCTACCGTTCGGCCGCTGGTGGGCCTTAAGAGTGGAAAGAAAATGTTTATCATATTTTTCCAAACATGTAATCCACTTTTTATTCTATTCATGAAGAAAGCTTGTGATTTATTTTTCTGCCATTTGAATAGGAAATTTTCGTTTCGATTTTAAATTATGAGTATTGATTCTTAAACATCTGTTTCAATTCTGGGAACAATTAATATCGGATAATATACAACTAGGCTGTAAAGAAGGCGACGGTTAAATATGAACTTAAGAGCTTGCCATTGTTTCTATCATTTACTCACTTCAGTGCGGCCTTGCATTGTCGTGATTCCAAGAGGAAAATAAGTTTCTCTTTTCTGGCCTTATTCTATGAATCCCTTGTTTAAATGTTCTCAAGACTTCGAAATATCTTTCAGAAGGAACGGCCATTTCCTTAGCCAGAAATTCTGAACAACTCACAAGTTTGTGTCCTGAAAATGGTGAACATGGTTTTACGTGCTGAAGAACTTACTTTAAAATTCTTAATATGTAAAGAACCTGAATGAAGATATCAGAGGCAGGATCATTTGTTGTCATCCATACAACGATCAGCAAAAATTAGTATATAGATAAACTGGTATTCAACTTTGAAGTGCAAAAGTTTTTATTACTGATTAATAATTTATACGTAATTCAGAGACAATACTCCTGATTAATGAATGCTAGTCCTCAAATGGTTAAACAATAAAATAATACTGAGAATTTTTGCACCTAAGAATTGAAATTATAGGAAGTAGGTGAAGGCAATTTATTTTCTGCACCAACTACTAGTGAAGCTATGCGGTAGGAGATCCTATTTATCAGTGAACCTATATGTATATTCATTATTATCCCAATAGGAAGTAAATTAATAAATCACAATAAAATATTCTGATTATTTAGAAGTACCGTTTTGCAATTTTTTAAGTAATAGTTTAATTTATTTTCTGTGAGCAGGAATTAATTTAATTAGCATTTTTAATATTAATATATGATAAAATATTTTTGTTGAAATTATTAAAGACAAGTTAACAGCCACTGATTCGATATTTTAGATATACGCTTATGATTTTACTATGTAGATTTTTTCCCCTACAAGAATACGAATATTTGTGGAAGAAGCTTTGAAATAGACATAAATTAACATCATGCGAAGATGACTTACCATGTTTCGTAATATTTTACTTCATTCAAAAATAAATTGACACAGTGCTGTTTTTTCGTTACTTTTATTATTTAAGTTACCATCCAAGGCTTTTAGGTATCACATACAAGCAATGCATTTTTAATTTATAATTTAATCGGGTTGCTACATAGACTATTTTATTATACCTTAAATCAAGGAATAATTACATGTACTATCTCTGGAGCTGTACTAAAACTAGTAATTTTCCTTTTTAAATCCAAATCTACCCTATCTAAATCCGGTATCACATCTACAAGCTACCCTAAACAGCCACCTATACAAAACCAGTCCTTTGGAGAAATCATTTAAGGGACAAAGTTTCAAGTAAAATACTTTCAGTTCGGTTTCAAAAAGTCTCGCGTAACTAGGCGGAACATCGGTTGCAACGTACTATGTTTAGGTTAGGAACTCTCCAACGGTAGGAGAAGGAAGGGCTCGTTTCTCGGAAAAGTTTTCTTCCACCTTTGAGCGTCCTTAGATGTGATAACCCCATTAGATTATGATTAGAACATCTGCAGTTTCAGATGATTTTGATCGTCTGTGGAAGGGTTCTTTTTAAAGAAACTTTTTATCATTGAGGACGATTATTGATATTCATAATGACTTTACCCAATTTAAGGCTCTCGCGATCTGTTCAAGAAGAAAAATGGAGCTCAGTAATGACGTTCAATATACCAGTTTATTAATACAATTACGAATTGATTATAAAGATTAAGTAGGAAATTATGTAGCAGAAAACAATGAGAAAAATTTGTCTTACAGTATTTATTCTTAAAACTATAAGTGAAGAACTTACTGAATTCTTATAGTGACCACTTATGGTTTCAGACTATTATGGTTTTCCGGGGAGGTAATCATCTTAGAAAGGTTATCATCAGTATTGAAATTTATTTATTTTCTGAGCAATACTGATAATTTCAGCAGGTATTAAGAGAATCGACAGTAAAACTCAGCTGTAAGGAAGTTGCCACAAGATGGCTCGCTGATCTTTAAAATACTAAATGCAGATCTTATACGTAAACCCATAAAAAAAGAATTGTATAAAACCCAAGATTAAGAATTTCGTTTAACAATTCAAAATACACTCACTTGCTATTACAACGTTCCTCAATTTTAAGAGTACAAGTTGCGTGCTTTATTTTCCCTCTTAATTGATTTTTTTTTTCTAAAGCAGTTTGAATTGCGTAAAATAAATCATTTAACTTATTGCTGTCTACTTCTTTAAATACTAATTATTTTAAACCAATATCTTTAACAACAAAGATTCCTTTGCCAGTAGCAGCTTCAGTAGCCTGCAGTACGCCTCTAATGCTGTGACATTTTATTCTTCAAAAATTTTAACCGAAGGCTTTTAAAATATATTAATCTAAGATTAATCAAACTTATGAAGTTTAAAATTTTAAAAGATATATATACCCATACACGGTCTTAACTTCCCACTAGGAAAGAAACATGACTAACTACAATCGTAGTGAAAACAGAAATGAACTGCTTTGGAATCTCTCGAACATTCAGAAAATGAAAAATTAGTACAAATACTTAAAGAATGCGAAAAATAATTTAACAGTTCATTGTAGTACATATGATAAATTACGCCGTATTAAGAAAGGCCAATGATAGTATTTCAGTAATCAATAATTAGTAATTAATTTTCAGCAATGATTAATTTTCTATAAAAATAATTTTTTCTGTTGCAGTAAGAACTGAAAAAGTAAATCCTAGATCTCTTAAGCACATAAAATAGTTTAATTTGGTAGCCAAATTAGATGTTTAGGTGGTAGCTATAAAACATATTGTATAATCTCGGTTTATGTTAGGAAATGGTTTTATTACAGAAAATATTTCAGTTACCAGTACGAATGTTTATTTATGTTTTCAGAAATACTTTCTATTTTCAGAAGTGATTGCCTGGAAACGGTACACTGACTCTGTATATAAATATTGATGAATACTTTTTTAGACTACAACTTTACGATAAAACCTTTTTTCATTTGTAAGTAATGAGAGGTGGCGATGTATTCTAAAACTAATATGTCCGCCTATTTCACCATTTTGAGTTTATGAACGTTGACTTGTATTTAATTTTATAAAGAATATATATATTTTTCAGATGTATTGTGCTATCGCTGGAGTTATTTATCTCCTGGGAAGATTAGTTTATTCTATCGGATACAGCACTGGAGGTAAGAACCGATTTCGAATGTAAATGAAAATACGTTGTATTTACGTATTATATTGAATTTTTTAATGCAGTTACTATTTATTTTACAAATGTCTAACATTAGTGTTTAAGCCATTAGTTCACGAGCTTTTCAGTACTTTTTAATAGTATCCTCATACCAAGAAAGTGCAATACAATTATTTAAATGTTCAAAAATCTTAGGCTGATTGAAGTCACACAAAATACAGTTTGGGGAATCCACCACTCCAATTCTATAGAGGTGGTCTCGCAAACAGCCAAGTCTGGTCAAATATCTAAAGAGCTACCGCAGTCTTTCTTGGAAAATTGGGAATGAAAGTTGTCTCTTTCCCCAGAATCCTCCAGCTCTTATCCATAGCACGTTGAATCATATCCTGCTTAAGAATTTCCTTAAGAGTCAGGTTAACAACACATAAAGGAAAGCGGTCTATTAATGCGTTACATTATGAAAGTTTCTTTCTTAGCCAATGTATCAGCTTTTTCATTTCTCATAATTCCATAGTGGGCTGGAATCTACTAGAAAGAAATTTTGTATGCCATTGCCTTAAGGAAACGCCTACTGTCCAAGATTCTTTGGAAACTATTTTGATTATTCAGAAGAGCTTTAAGCGAACTTTTGAATCTGACAATAACTGCCTTTACAAAAAAGTGGCTAAGAATCGGCAGTTGTTGAATAGCCACAGCAATAGCATCGATTTCACCATCAAAAAAAAAAAAAAAAAAAAAAAAAAAAAAAAAAAGGTGGTCATTGTTAAGTAGAAACTGGAAAGCTCGCTATGAATACCTGCTCCAGCACCGCGCGTTCTTTCTAACGTAGAGCCGTCAGTGTAGACATGCAAACGCTCATTTTGAGGATAGCGAATCCCAATAGTTTCCATTGCAATAGATCTTAATTGTGAAACGGTCATTTCGTTTTTAACAACTCTTTGAATAAGGTCAAGATTTATATTCAAATTCAAAAAGTACAAGAGACAATGAGGAGGGGGGTAACATTAGATAATCTTGGCTCAATTCCAAAGCATCAGAGTCTCTCTGAGCAACCTGTATAAAAAGCCAATTTGAGTTTTAAGATTTCCCGAAATTTCCTTATCATAGTTACTCCAAAAAGCGTTGTCGCGCAAATGCACCAACTTCTGGTATAATATAGTATATTTTTGCAATTAGTATAATAATTATAATATTTTGTATGTTCCTTTATACTTTTCATAGTTTTCCTTTAACTGTAAAATATGTATAAAGTGCGATCAAAGAACAATAGAATTATGTAGACTTTGCCCAACAGAAATATCTTAAGATCACTATGTTGAACCATTTAAACACGACAGAGTAGTAGTTATATTAGGTATAGCGACAGTTATTTTCTTCCTTTTCACATTACGCCCACCAGCGGCCGAGCGGTAAAGTCGATGAACACTGGTAGTTCGGTCCGAGGTTCGAATCCCGCGAACGGGCTGGCTGCATGGACGTTTTCGTGGTTTTCCCCATGCGTAACGTGTATACGAGCCAGTTTCCCTTAGAAAGTCCTCCACGAAAGGCATCCCTCCCCTTAGGCAAATAGCCCTAGTGTGCTTTGCCATAATTAAATACACCACACCACCACCTTTTCACATTACAAAGAGGAAAGTTTAGAGGAATTATAACGTATTTCTTAGCAAATGTTTTCAGTTTTCTTTCAGGAAAGAATAAGTAAACGCATTATATGATAATCATCAAATAGTTATGCGAATCTTTCATGTCATAAAATCAATGTCACGAAATTCTAGAGGATCGGAACTTTCGATTGAACACGATCATTATCTCCAGGTATGTAGAAGAGCAGGTTAGCTTGTAGAGACATTAGGATAATTGGACGTAGGAGAGATGAAAAATGAGCAACACCTTCGCCGGAAATCGAAGCACGGACCTTCTAGAATACGCGCCCGGCGTGCTGACCACTTCACTACGAAGGCATGCTAAGAAGGCGGGAGAACTATCTTATATACTTCCCCTTTTAAAGGGCGAGTGGGGTTTAGGAGGTCTAGTCGCAAATCCTGGGTGTGGAGAATCATCATCCACCACCCTTTTAGTTCGGGCGCCACTGTAGAGACATTACGTTAATTGGAAGCAGGAGAGATGAAAAATGAGCAACGCTTTCTCTGGGAATCCAACCTAGGACCTCTGGAATACGCGCCCAGCGTGCGAATTCTACACTACAAAGGCATGCTAGGATGGCGGGAGAAATACCTTAAAAGCTTACTTGGGTAAACCAATGGAAGTGCGTTCTCGCCCTCTGTTGGCTGTACGTCATTCAAGTTCTCTCTAATCAGAATAGTATAAGTTTCTCCGCTGATTTCAGCTGAATGCAATTTTTTTACCGCTGCAGGGAAAATTAATTTTTTTCCTATAACGAATGTTATTAAATAATTACAGCGTAATGATTGGTATATACTGTGCGGTAGCATTATGCACTAATAATGTATGAAACAAAAAATTATTAGCAAAGCGTATCATTTTAAATTATGAAAATAAGTTATTATAGAATAATATGTAGTAAAATCTTTCTTTTTGTATTTTTGGTGAATGAATTTATGTTTCTTCACTGCAAGGATATTTGAGTTATCATATATCAAATACATATGTCTGCTTTATTTAATTTTAGGCAAACCCAATTTAAACATTTTAATTGCTTCTCAAAACACAAAACTGCACAAGTTATTGAAAATGTCATTTTTATCCATGCGATTTAATTCTTTAGCATATTACATTACCGCCCCCCGAAGATTGTCGTAACATTTACGGGACACCATGTATATACACTCTGTCACAAAATAAATAAATAAATAAAACGTATATATATATGGACTCAGAAGAAATCGAGCCACAATCACGAAACAAAAGAATCAGTCTTAAAATTTTTCGTTCAGTCTTCGCATTTTAAAGTGTTTTAATAGAAATATTCGAAATTTTTACATTTGCAGTAAGTCGTTTATTTTCGAAAACTAATGCTGAAATTTAACCCTAATGCGATTCAAAAGATTATTTTCTTAATAACTTTTATCACCGCTGAACGAGTGTAATCTTCGAATGCAAAACATAGAATAAAAAAATTGGATCGCTACTCTAGTCATAGAAAATTAGTTTAACTGTTTGGCAAAAACGTTCTGTCAGTTCGATCTTCGATACAAAATAACAAAAGCTAGAATTATTTATCTGCTTTTATTTTAAAGTAAAATATTTTTAGTGAAATTTAAAGACCTGAACACGAATACATGTTAAAGTTTTTGATTTAAAATATTAACAAAGTATTAAAAAAAGAAGTTTTTTTTAAAAAGTTTTTTTTTTTTTTTTTTTTTTTTTTTTTTTTTTTAAGTTTCATTTCTGTATTCATTCTTTCCATTTAGATCCCGAAAAGAGACTGTTTGGACTTTTCTCCTACCTTGGACTTATCTACCTCCTGTACAGCACTCTAGAACTAGCAGTAAGATTACTGCGATGGGTGTGAAATGAAAAAAAAAAAATAATTTTCAAGTAATCTTAAAAACAAAATTAATTTTCCATCAGTACTGATTTTGTTGAATTTAGTCTTCATGTGTACATCTTTTTATTGTTGCTTGATGGCTAGGACATTTTATACCTTACTTTGTTGAATTTGTATGTAATTTAACAATAAACGTTTTAAAAAAAATGACGTTTAGAGATTATTTATCATTTTTAAGACAGATCACATAATTTATCTGTTTATGTGACTACGGGTGTACTCCAACTGCGCTGATGAAAATCCCCCCCCTCGTCCTGAGATAGTCCAACTGCGCCGATCAAAATTTCTTTCCCCCGTTGGCCACAGGGTTACAATTTTATTTTTCGAAGCCAACTGTAGCCAAGAGGAAAATAAAAATAAAGAAATATATTTTATGTAAATGAATAGATGAATAGCGGATTAGTTGCCAATCTAGAGAAACTAAGCTTCGGCAACAACAAAGATAACGCCTTCTTTTATTATTATTGTAAATTAAGTCATGCTTAATCCTTTCTGGAATTTATTCCAGGAAATAAGTGTTTAAGATTTCTAGAGTAAATTTCTTAGGGGTTGAAATTAAAAAAATACAGCAGAAATGAGAAGAGAATTTAGATCTCTTTCATATCATAAGTTTATTAAGCATTATATACCCTATACGGAGCACGCACTCCTTGAAACTGAAATACGGACATAGCGGAACAGAAAAATATTTTTTTGGAAAGAACTATGTAGTAATGCATAAATGAAAGAAATTAAATAAAAACTATCAAAGAAAATATATAATAATTATTACATCAAACACTCTCTTGACCGCAAGTGATAGAATTTTGTTTTCTCGTTTATCTTTCAGCAAAGCTTATACAATTAAATAATCACTTTCATTCGCGTAAAATTATAAACAAATGTAAATTATTATAGAAAACGCATAAAGTTAAACACTACAGTGTGAAAGGAAAATTTTGGAATAAAAATGTTAAGAAAATTAGATGAGAAATAATCAATAATTTATTGATATCCATATAAACTCTATGCTTTTGGAAAAAGTTACACATAATTTGCACTGAGGTATCAATCACCGAAACCAAGTCTTAATTTCTTTCCTTATTTTTTCTTATCAGAGGGATTTGTAAAAAGACACGCTAAGGTGAAAAATTTTGCAATATTTTTAAAGAATAAATTTTAAAAGTATTTTTATTTCATGAAGTGAAATTTTTACTATACATTTTTACAAAAAAAGAAAGAGCTAGGGGATCACTGGGACAAGAAACTCGAGTCGTACTACCAATGTTTAGTGACTTTTCCGCTTGATCATAAGACCTTTTGAAATTAGGCTGAACAGTATATTAAAGAAAATAGAAGATACAGCACAAGTAAGAACAAAAGTGGGCTGAATTAGATATTTACATGTTTAATGAATAAGTTAAACTTACCTGTATGACATTATGAAATATTAGGAAGTAGCATTAAAGCATGAGTGAAGAAGGCAAAGACAACTAAATCATTCTAATCTAAATGTATAACATTATCCGTATCTGCTATTAATTTCAATACTGCTGAAAAAATTATAAATGAATTATATGATAAATCGTATGAACTCGTTGCATTATAAATTACAACAGTTAGAAATATTATTAGCGTGATTTAGCGACCATCTTTGTTAACAAATAATTTCAAGTAACTAATTTTACAAATACGTCAGCCTGAAACTAGGTTAGAAAATAAGCTACATGCTGAAGATTAAGCTTTGCCAAGGTGTTAGAAACATCTTCTATTAACTAGAGTTATGAAGCAAGAATTTGTAAAAATTATCATTTAAATATAAGTTGGCATAAATACAATACAAATTATATAAATTTTACATACATGAAAACTTGAGTACAGTGCAATAATATGTGAAAAAGGTGGTGGTGTGTGTGGTGGTGTATTTAATTATGGCAAAGCACACGAGGGTATCTGCCTGAGGGGAGGGATGCCTTCGTGGTGTATTTAATTAATTATGGCAAAGCACACGAGGGCTATCTGCCTAAAGGGAGGGATGCCTTTCGTGGAGGACTTTCTAAGGAAACTGGCTCGTTACACGTTACACATGGGGAAAACCACGAAAACGCCCATGCAGCCAGCCCGTTCGCGGGATTCGAACCTCAGACCGAACTACCAGTGTTCAGCGTCTTTACCGCTCGGCCGCTGGTGGGCGGATGCCTTCGTGGAGGACTTTCTAAGGAAAACTGGCTCATATACACGTTACACATGGGGAAAACCACGAAAACGCCCATGCAGCCAGCCCGTTCGCGGGATTCGAACCTCGGACCGAACTACCAGTGTTCAGCGACTTTACCGCTCGGCCGCTGGTGGGCCCCTGTGGGAAAAAGGAATGGATTAAAAGGGAGACTGAAAAATCCCAGGATATGAATATAAGGGAGTTTGAATTTTTTTTTTTTTTTTTTTTTGTTAATTATAAAAATTATGAAAATGCTGCAAATGCTCGTAATTTATTAATTAAATGTGCATTAGAAATTAAATGTATGTCAAAGTATATCGGATAGAGCAATTGGAAAACAGAATAAATATTTTCTAGTATTAGAATATGGAATTTGTTAAACGTTTCTGATATTAAAATACGGACGTTTTAGTATAAAAAGAAAGTTAAATAACTTTAAAATCTTAAAATTTCAATGATAATAATAGAAAGGCTTCAATAAGATATATATTACAATGACATTGGTGTGGATTTAGAACCTCTTAAGAAACCCAATTTTTAGATTTAATAAAGAAAATTTTAAAATTAAATTAGAACCGTTTACCAAAGATGGTAAAATCGAATTTAAAACCATTTTGCTGTCTAAGAAGATTTGTTAATACTTAACTAGACAAGAAAGCTAATTTAAAGTAGACTACAAATCCGATATTCGATAGGTTGATTACGTATCAGTTTTATTATTCAAAATTGATACATTTTATATAACAGTATATATATCTGCAGCTCAAATCTACTAATGGAAAGTTTTTAATTCTTACAGAGATAAAAAAAATCTGGCTCATCATTCCTTTAAGCATAATAAACTTTAAAATAGTGTAAAAGAAATTTATTTTTTATCACACGCCAGACTTTAAATCATACTTGTTTTTTACATGCAAGTTTTACAATATTGATAAACGAAAATAAGGCTTGCAGTCTCAATAGAATGTCCTATTAATGGCGATAGACGACTTCTTGTAGCACACAATCTTCTTGGAAAGAAATGGGGGCCAGGAAACGTCGCGCAGTTCGTGGATTAAAAAAGAGGGGGACGGGGATTTTCGATCAAATTTGGCGCAGTTCGTACCCTGTTTATCTGTTTATGTGACTTCGTACCCTGTTTATGTTTTTTTTTCTTATTTTATTTTCTTATTTATGATATAACTTGGTTCCAAATGCTGGGAAATATACATTGGCAACGGATTTTCTTAACGGTAAGTTGACTTAACGGGAGCAGAAAGATAAAGTAGCTAAATACTGGTAATTGGACGTGGGTTCTGATATCGGCGAATGGGTTGCCTGCATGGGGTTTTCGCTATGGATAACGTAGATATGAACGTTTCTGTTAGGAAGCAATACATGGAAGCCTCCCTCCCTATAGTTTCTGAAGCTAATAATATTAGCAGATAGTCCTCAAGTTCTTTTACCTAACCTGATAGATTAAAGTATATGGGAATTATTTTTCTTCAGTAAGAGTATGTCATCCATAGCAAATAAACCTTATGTGACTATTTGGTAATTAAGAAATTTTGTACTAAAATAACCAATCCAAAAGCAGTTCTTTAAACTCATATTCGTGGCTTTCAGAAACTGGCGTCAGTTTTATCGTATTTTATTGTTAGAAAAGTATCAACATATGTGTCCAAAACATGACCTCCTGCCAATTCCATGTTTTTAATAGTAACAAGCTTTAAGTAAAGGATCATTCCTAGTCAATCGTTTGTAAACAAAATCAAATTTGTTATTTCAATAGTTAGAAAGGTCCGTAATACAAAATTTTAGATAATATTTCATTAAGTATTCATGGACATTTATTAAAACTGATCAGCATAATCAAATATTTGCCCCTTTATTTCTTTTCAATTAAGGAAAATCAAGTGCTTATAATTTATTTAATATTAAATAATTTGAAACGATACCATATTTTAATTTTCGTCTGTGTTATTTCTACAGCACCCACAAATCTGAATTCATTTTGATGTGCACGTATTCCCCCTTTCTGATATGTAGATATCAGTAAACAATGCTGGTTAATTTGGGAATTACGGTTGAATAGTGACCTGTGTTTTCTGGGTACTGTAAAAAGAAATAGATGTTTTCTAATTTTCTATTTACACTTGTGCCTCGTCGTTCTCATCAGTGCAAAAGAATAAAAATCTGATGCGTACACCACATGACTTCCGTGCATGGAATATTAAATAATACGAATTTTTTCCTGCATTTCATTTAAACTTATTAAATTAAATTAAATATACTTCGTCGATAGCTCATAAACCACAATAGAATAAATGCACTCTTTAAAATTCCCTATATTTATTTAACCATAGTGACACTCTGGCGCTAGGTTCACTTAACAGCGTTACATCTCATTTATTTTATAACTCGGAATAAGCAAAAATTTTATTATCTTAAGAATTATCTAATCGTTGCCCCATGTTCTATTCAAGTATTATAATAATTCTAAAAAAATGTACAAAAGAAATTAGACAAAAAATCTGATGTGTACACCACATGACTTCCGTGCATGGAATATTAAATTATACGTATTTTTTCCTGCATTTCATTTAAACTTATTGGATTGAATTAAATATACTTCTTCGACAGCGCATAAACCACAATAGAATAAATGCGCTATTTAAAATTCACGATATTTGTTTACATAGCGACACTCTGCCCTTAACAGTGTTACATCTTATTCATTTTATAACTCAGAATGCACGAAATTTATATCACCTGAAGAATTATCTAATCGTTGCCACATGTTATGTTCAAATACTATAATAAATCTAAAACAATGTATTAAGGAAATTAAAAAAACAAACAAAAAATAAATAAAAATTTTAAAAAATCTGGGTTTTCAGATTTTAAATTACGCCCAAAGGGACGTTTTTTAAACGTTTTGTGTGTTACATTTATTTATTAAATAGTAAGT